GAGATTGTTGAGTTAACATGATTCACAGGACATGATAATCAGACACTCTGAGAACAACAGTAGCCACATTGGCCCTCATTCGCAAATATGAGCTCAAAATCACAAATTCAGAAGTACAAAAGGTTTTAAAGCCAAGAAAAGTTGTCGCACAAATTAGCTTAACTCAAATACATTAAATAGAGTAGCCAAGAAATATACTTGAACAAGTAAAAATTTGTAGATACTTCTACTCAAAAACAGTTTTCCAGAAGCACACAAAATAAGCTACACAGTACTAACTACCTAAGAGGTACACAAAGGCTGAGAAACAAATAGTAAAAAGCTTAACACAATTGAAGCTAGAATATTAGTTAGCTCAAACAAACATCATACAAGCTCCCCACACGAAACCAAACATCAAAAAAAAAATTTATAGCATTGTATCTATAATCCCAACAATACGGTTTCAGTTCTATACAATTGAAGCTAAAATTAAAATTCAAGAACATGCAAATGAAAATTGATAGAAATTCAGAAAATCACCTGTGACATTTCAAGCCAACTGTCTTCAATTTAGGTCATCCAACATCAGCATTCAATTTTCACCGCCCTAACCAAAGCTTCTCCAATTTCCACCACCCAACAAACCACCACCCACCGGAGTTCCTCTGATAACCCAGGCAGCCTACAATTTCCGGCACACACTGGCCCAAAAATCCCAAGACTAGCGACGGACAAACCAGAAATAGAGGACCAGGCTGAGATTGCGCTTCAATGGGGAACAGGGAGAAAGAGACGAAAAGGCGATAGAATGGACGGCGACCGGCGACGGAGAAGGCACCGGAGAAGAGATTGCGCTTCAACGGGGAACAGATCTAGCTTAGATTGCGCTTCAATGAGGAAAAGTGAATGAGGGACGACGCGCGAAATGAATTGAAAAGGGGGAATTGGAAATAATTTAGGGTTAGCTAAATTCGAATCCGTGCAAAAAAAAAAAATCCAACTTTTACTCGTAACGGATATTTTATGTCCGTTACAAATAAGTAGGTCAATCACGTTTTGACTTTACTATTTGTAACGGACAGAAAATGTCCATTACGAATAATTTAGTATTTGTAACGGGCAGTAAGGTGTCCGTTACAAATAAATATTTATTCGTAACGGACATAAAGATGCCCGTTACGAATAAGTATTTATTTGTAACAGGTACCTTACCGCCCGTTACAAATACTACTTTTTTACGCAGATGGATAATTATTTGTAACGGACCTTAATTTTGCCCGTTACGAATGATGTTTTGTAACAGGCAACAACATTCCCGTTATGATTAAGCCGTTACAAATAGACTTTTTTCCACTAGTGATATGATAAAAACAAAAACCGCAAAAACTGTTGTCTATCGAGTTTTATTCCGATTTAATTCGGATCTTATCTTAATTCTTCGACCCCTCTTTTTTCTCTATAAATAGAGGTCATATCACCCCTTTTTTCAATCATCAACAAGCTTGATCATCAAATCCTTCTCTCTTTCTCTCTTTTACACCAATAATCATTCTCTCTCACCTTGCACCAAAAATCATTCTCTTCTCCCTCTTTAACCTAATTTTTAGCCTCCTTATTCTTCCATAATAATTCCCCTAAGTACTCCAAGGAGTTTATACTTAACCCGATGATCCGTCCTTAAACCAAGGCGTAAAAGGTATAAATAACTAAGGGTTTGGACCAAATCAAATCTATATTTATTTAATTTAATTTTCATTTGCTTTATATTTTTTATTGAAGTTACTAACAGTTTATTCATGATGTAGCAATTTAAAAGAACGCGCAGAATGTGAGTAATTAATTGATTTAATTACTCTTAATTTATTTTAATATTGCTAGTATCATGAATAGGTTATTTCATATTTGATTTGACTAACGTTATTATTGTTGAATTGCTTCCAATATTGATGTTTATTCTATTATTATTTTTATTGATCACCATATTGCATGTTTAAAGGGAATATGTGATTGAAAATCACGCCTAATAAGATAATTTGGACAACCGGTTTAGATTCCTTTTTAATCTTGTTATTTAATCAAGTGATCACAAATATTTTAGAATTATATGTTGCATTAATATTCAACCAATTTAGCATAATAATAGTTTGGAGCAAATTGAATCTTTGTTTGTATGCATTTGAGATTGCAGGAATCATTTTCACTATAAGAATCGAGTAGAGGCCAATACGGGCGAACGTACCATCATCCCCGATCCTCCTTTCGTGGTTCCGAACCATATGGAGTTAGTAATCTCATGGATTATGAATGGGGTGTAACCTTCACGGGTCAATCGTTGTTGCCTTCGTTGTCCCTTTATCGTGGTTGCCTTTTATGATCCGTGAATGGTTTACAAGTTCCTTAAAAACTTGTTGGCGGCTCCCTACTTTGCTTTGTCCCTAATCGTTGTCCCTAATCGTAATGTCAATTCCCACTTCCTATGAGTTCCAAGCATATTCACCACATGCTTTTACGTAGGCGCACTTCGAGCGACGCCTACAGTAACTATGTAAATAGGTGTTTGCATATGTTAGCTTCATGAGGTAAGTACACTATGCATACAAGAGTTGTATATGTGTAGGAGTATTTACATAGCTTTGAGTTTAATTAGTTCTCACTTGAAGTTTCTTTATGACAAACAAACTTCAATCTAATGCTTCTTTAAAGTGTTTATGTGAAGACAGGAACTAACTTAGGTGAAGTCAATGGGTTGGAACATAGAAGACTTCAAAAGGAACAGGAAAAGATGAATGAACCCAAAGAAGGTTCTCCCACGAGAACCAAACCACGAAGGAACCTGAAGATATTCTACAATGAGATGTAGAAGGAACCTTCGGCAGGCTTTCCCACGAGAGCCGGAGCATGTTCCCTAACAGGTACATGAAGTGTTCCCTAACAGGTACACACAAAAGCATGACAGCAATCTAAAGAGTGAAGCTTGGACTGCGAAGATGACAGCAAGTTCTAGAAAGGAACCTGGTCTGCGAGTTCCAATAAGGAATGAAAAGAGTGACAAAAAGTTCCAGTTAGGAACTTGGCCTACGGTTCCAGAAGTGGAACGTTTCCCCCAAGATCTAGAATACATCAATACTACAAGATTCCAGAACAAGAGTTTCAAAGAAACAACATGAAGACGGAGAAATCGAAGTATATCGCTCTAGGATTCATGTAAGTATGTTGGACATAAAAGTCGGTATGGAACAAGTCTAAAGAATCAAGGTGAACTCATGATAGTCAATGAAATTAGAGTAACTGACTTGTCAGGAACTCGAGACTATCAGAGTTCGAGAACCTAATCGGAACATAAGTCTGCACGTCGTTAAAGGTCGGTTTTAATGATATATATATATTTAGCTAATACGTGCATATCTTTTAGGGATTTGGTTTTACATAATAAAGATATTTATTTTCTAATAAATCCCTTTTGGAAAAAGATAAATTATTTTTGGAAAATATTTTAAGCAATAATAAGTTTAGAATAAAATCTGATTTTATGATAATTAGTATATCTTTGAAAAAGATAAGCTAGTAATCTAGTATATTTGGAAAATATAAGTTTGGAATAAAATCTGATTTTATGATAAGTATATCTTTTTAAAAAGATAAGCTAGTATATTTGGAAAATATAAGTTTGGGATAAAAATATGATTTTATGATAAGTATATCTTTTGAAAAGATAGCTAGTATATTTGGAATGTATAAGTTTTAAATAAAATCTAATTTTATAGAAAATATATCTTATTATTATTGACAGAATATATTCTTAACAAAAAGATATATTTTTGGAAAACCTATTTTTGGTAAATATATTTTAAACATATCTTTTGAGAAAACTTATCTTTTATGAAAAGAATAATTTGGGTGTACTATAATATGCTCATATGTATTCATTCAAAGTTGAGGTTGACGAAGCTTAGTGGTCGTGCTTAATGGTTTCATCCTTCACTACGAAGCTAAGTCAAACCTCCAGGTCAAAGTTCCAGTCAGGTTTGGTTTCAGTTCGTCCAGTAAGTTCCAGACAGATCTTGAGTGTCCATCATATTAGTTTTATCTCTTAACTCAATTATATGTATTTAGAGTTATTCTTTGATATCTTGTAATTGGGAAAAAGGGTTTTGAGTGTTTTATGTATTGGGGTGTGAGAGTTCATGAGAAATCTCGTTATCATAATTGTATGAGTGCAAAGTGTGAGCTTCTAGGGTGAAGCCAAGTGAACTTCTAGTGAGAGGCCGAGTGAGTAGTACTCAGGGAGTACGAGTGAATCTAAGTGAGGGGCTTAGGTTTTGTAGGATAGGGTCCTATCAAGTAGCAAGTTCAGTTAGGAACTTGTGAGAAAGGTCTGTTTGTAATAGGTTGTAACTAGGAGTGTTTGGCCTATTATAGATGATTGGTTTGGCTTGAAATCCCTTGGAGGGTCGAGGTTTTACTTCCAGTTAGGCCTTGGATGGTTTCCTCGTAAAATCTGCGAAAAGTAGGCACTAGGAACATACCACAATTCACCCCCCTCTTATAGTATATCATCTGAAATAACAGTAATGACCAGTATCATGGAATGATTTGCTTTTAGTATAGGTTAACAGATTAAAATTCCAAATATTTTCTCTTTTTCCTATAAAACTCTCTTGAATTTCATTGAGTTGAATTTAATTTATAATGTAATAAGGCCTAATGAATGTATACAAGTGCATTAGCCAAATAATTAACAATAGGCTAGATCATGAATGTATTAGGATAATTGAACCAACTAGCTTGACATCATATACATAATGAAGGATAATAAAACCTTTTGGAAATACAAAAAATTAGTTATGTATAGGAATTTCTTGTCTCAAGATTGACTTGTGTAATTGAGGATCGTAGTAAAGAAAGGGTAACATATATCAAAGTAGTAGTATTATACTTGTGTCCTCTAATTCTAATCCTATTGCAAGAATCTTATTAGTGGTAGTACGTATACAAGTTTAGTCAATAATCAACGTATATCTTTAGGTACACTCGCATTAAAATAGATTGTAAAAGGTAGTCAAAATTTTATTTATTTTTCACACATCTAACTATCTAAGTTGCTAGTTATAGTCCCTTTTTTAGCTTTGAATTTTAAAACAAGAATGGAGTAGAATTTAAAATAACATTCAGAATATACATAGTAAATCACATCAACCATATTACATTACTGATGCGAAAAAGAAAAAAATAATAATAATAAAAAAAAAAAAGGGATGTCATCAGCAAACGAAAATTGTTAGGGTTCTAAAAGATTTAAAGATTAGATTAAATTAGTCAAAATTGTTTTGTTTCTTCAACTGCTTGATCAGCATGCAAGGAGGCAATCACTATTGGCATTTTTCAAATGCGACAATCTTCAGCCTTTTTACAGTAATCAAAAACATCCTGCATGCAATAAAACACACCAAATTAATTAAATCTATAGTATATATTCAATCATTGTAAAATAAAGCTGAAATATTTGATTTAAATAGAATTAATTTTGAACTTTAGCTTAAAATGGTTAATATAATTTGATGATATTCATTTCAATATTGTAAAATGTACTTGGATTTTGTTAGTGTAATTAATGAGTAACATAAGCATCATTAGAAAAACAATGTTTGTCCCTTTACATATTAGTTGTAATTAACTTTGGATTTTTTTACGTCTCACAAATAATACCGTAAATTTGCAACCCAAATATGTAACGGATGAAGTATTTTTTTTGTTAAAAATAAATTAATGTTGATTAGGACTTAATTTAGGAATTAACGTTTTCTATGTGATGTACGAAAATATAATAATTTATTAGAATATGTCTTTTTTTTTTTTTTTTTTTTTTGTGTGTGTGTGTGGATTCATTTAGGTGATGGTACTTGAAGAACAAAAAATAAATAAATAGAGTTATAATTGTATAGAGCTTATAAAGGAAGATGAAAGTACTTACTCCCAAGGAACATCTCCAACCATCATCCAATCTCCTTCTTTATCCTCATAAGTGAGAATATGACAATTTTCTGGTGAATCATGGCAAATTACATCGGAAGCTGTTTTTACGCCACCAAAAATCAGAGTAAGTTTTGTAATTATTAGAGCTTATTCATTTAATTAGTTTAAAAATTAGGAAAAAAAATTAGAAAGAAAATGACCATTTTAAGCCCATAAAGATCATAAAAAGCTGTACTTTCTTATATAAAACACAACAATTATATATTTTTTTATAAAAAAATTACTCGTAAAAAATGTGACAAGTTACGTATCAAACTTTTCTATTTAAGTTGAACTATTAAGACATTTTTAAAAACACTCGTATTACTTATATCCATTCACATAGATTTAGACACTTTCAAAATTTTTAAAGACGTCACAACTTCCTGATGACAACTTAACATATATCCAACCAAATAACCACTTGTAAATCGAAAGAAACTTCATAAAGACGAGATAGAAAGAAAAACAAAAAAAAGGGGTTGGATGGATGATGGACACTTACAAAGAATAGTGGTCCTAAACATTTGAACAAGGGTAGTAATCAAGCTATGATAACCATGATGAGCAAGCAAGTCGAGTTTCCTACCAATAGGAATGCCTTCCATACTAACTTTGACAAACAAAGTTTCTCGTCGAGGCCGGCTATTACTTGATTTTTCTGCTGCAAGCGTGCTCCTCAACAACGCCTTCATTGGTGGCCAGTCACTATACTGCCCCCTATTCACCATTTTTTATCATCATCAGTCCAACCAACCAACCAACCAAACATAACAAAACTTTATTTTTTATGCATAAATCTTTTATTTTAATCTCTAGATTAGATAATATCAAAGTTAGTTCAACTCATGTAGATTATATGGATTAGTCGTCCTACTCGTCTAAGTTTATCTTAAATTGATAGACAATTTTCAACTTCGGCTTTGTACAGAATATGCAACCCTTAGGACTGCATATAATTAATCACTTCCCTTTTTAGTATTAAGTTGAAAATTTATCGACAATTTACGAGTAAATTGGTATAATAAATGTTTATTTATTGTCAATTCTTTTCATTTTTAGCTTCTTATATGCAGTCCTAAGGGCTACAATATATCTTTTTCCTTTTTAAAATGGGCGGACATGTTAAAATAGTTAGGAAGATTTTTTTTTAAAGATAGTAATGTTAACCTAATTTATCTAAGAGAATAACATGTTAACCTATTGCAGTTAGTGTCTATATGGTCTTGCAATTGATGAATGTATGTCTCAAAAAGGAAAACTTGTTTAATATGTATGTTTTTATCTTTCATGACTTTGCACCAAATATTTTAGAAGTTATTGATTGATACCACTTAGCTTGAATATTTCAAATGGAAAAAACTTAGCTTGTTCTAGATTCTAACTTCATGTTACGCATTAAATTTACTTGCAATTTTTGTTGGTAAATTTGGACATTTTAGAGGTTATAATGGTTAGAATAATTTTTAGGATTTAGCCTAACCTTTCTTTTTTTGTCCTTTCACCAATCACTATCTCGATTGTCCTAACTAAAACTAAAAGAAGTAAAAAGACTTTTGTGCTTCAAATGAATCAAAAATACTATATTGCATTTATCAATTGGCCACTTTATTAGTTAGATCCACATGTTAAAGTTATGGCACAATTTTTTTTTTCTTTAATTTACGGTTCAAAGAAGAACCAAAGGTCTTGTTGCAATTAAATTTTAATTCTAGATTTTTAATGTGTAGTTTTTTTTTTTTTTTTGGAGGGAATTTTTACTGTGTTATTTTAGTAACGACATTGGCACCTAATTATCAAACAAATTCATAGCTTATTATATTATCATAAATACAATTGATGTATTGTTATTTTCTCCTTTACAATAATCTTATGACATAAAATGTACTAGTACTACTTCCTCTATATATATTCTCTAATGTTCAATTTCTAATTATGTGTACGTAGTTTAAATTAACAATTTCAATTCTCCTTACATTTTTATTATCACAATATCACGTGACTAGTTATCGTACATTCATACACCTTAATTTGTTAATATGCGGGGAAAAAAAAAAAAGCAAATAGAACAACTAATTATTATACAACTAAATATTTATTTCAACATTGAGATAGATTGATCTCATTCTTCTCTCTTACGGAATATTGATTACTTATTCATGAATTAAAATATATATAAAAGATAAAAATAAATAAATAAATAAAAAGAAAAAAAAAGAAAGAAAACTAAGGGAGAAAAAAAAACATAAAATAAAGTAATAAAGAAGAGAAAAAACAAACAAAAATTACCTTTGAGAGGAAGACAAGCCATGAGAAGAAATGCTCAAACCCAATCTAAGATCAGTGCTCAAATCCTTGCTACCAAAATCATTTAAACTCGTCGTCGCGCTATTGTACGATGGAGAAGCTATAGAATGCGAATTACTCTGAGCATGATTAAGAGCATATGAATTATTATTAACGTTACTATCAGTTGATGAAGACGACGAAGAATATTGTTGATCATCATCTTCTCTTTTTCCCATTTTTATTTTATATAAATATAAATAAAAACCTTGGTATATAATTATATCACACTCTTACTTAATTACACACGTACTATTGACGTTTTTTTTAAGGAGGGTTTTTGAGTTTGCTTCAATGGAGGAAAATATATAAGTTGTTTGGTATATATATATATATATATATATATATAATTAAGAGGATATAATTAGAGGGAAACTTGTGAAGGAGGGTTTTATATAATAAGATTATTAATTACTACTTTTATGAAATTTTTAATTTATAAATGAGAAAGAAAACAAAGTGGGGACACATAACTTGACAAGAAATACTTTGTCCGCCTTTAACTGTTTTCATGCTGGCCGACATTTATATCTTTGCTTATGTCATAGTCTAGTTCATGTTTTTGATTAGTGCTAGATTAGTAGAATAATACGTCTTAATTATCGCATATGTTTAATGGGTGGTTTAATTTTATTAGACTTTGGATTGTTTGGAGTTTTTAGGATAAGTGTACTTTTGTCTAGATTACCTGTTGTTTGGTTTGATTAAGGTTGAAGGAATGGAATTTCGAGATCACTTGTTATGGATAGAGGTTTAATTAGATAGGCAGGGTTAGGTGCGCAATTTGTTTCATTATTATTTGAAAATGTAAGACTTTTGAAAGTTCGTTCTCCTTGTTTTGAAATAAGGTTGATTAGTTTTACTTTAATTTGAAAGTTAGATTTTATGCGTGTTTTGTAATTTGTATCACTCGATTTTCATTATCGGTCATCATTAATAGCGTAGAATAATAGTTTTCGAATAATTAAATAGTACGAAGTATATGACATTTTATTGATCTAAGTAGGAGATGTTAATATATAAATATTTTGATTAGGTGATATGCATGTACTTTGTAGTTTTTAAACCTTTTTAACCAAATAATTACATTTTCGTCTTCTAAGAGAGTTAAATTTCTTGCGTTTCTTTACTAGGGTTATCAATTTTTTCTCTAGGTTGATAAATTTTATTTTGTTTTTTAGAGTTTGTTTTGTCGATCTGGTCCAATCCAGTCCAGATATGAAAAAGAAACCAAACCCAATTGAAGACCGGAACCCACTTTTCTTTTCTTTCTTTCTTTTTTTTTTTCCAAGAAGACTTTTTATTTAGTCAACCCATTGATCACACTGTTCACTTTCACAAGAGACTTATGAAGAGACTATCCTCCATAGTTTTAATTCCAACCACTGATTAAATTCAATTGGGTTAGCACACAAAGCTTCTAGGAAGCCTCTTTAAACCAGGGCCATAAAGACAACAGAACAAGGTCCCAAAGCAACAATGACAAGAATACAAATTAAAGCTACACTAATTTAAAGTATTCTTCTAGCTCAATATATAAGGCATAAAGCTAAGCCAACTGTTTTTAGCAGGATTTGATAATATGTTATTGTTTTCTAATATAATACGATTATAAATCTAGTAAGATATCAAATCTAATTCCATCAAATAATGACAAGGAGTATCACTACTACACGTCTACACACCCTGGTTTCGAAAGACAAAATTGGTAGATCATACACTCGCATTATCAAATTGTTTAGAATTTAGAGCATCTATTATACATTTGTGTGTATCACACACACACAACATACTTAAAACTTCATTCATTTTAGTTTTTAGCTGAACAATTCAATGAAATATTTTTTGATATACAGTATACTCAAGTGTATAATAAATTTTTAATTATTAAGCGTCATTAACAAATATGTAAAACGACTAATCTAAGAATACATTCTAATTAACTAATCAATATGGAATATTAACAATGATCAAAATACCAAATTGTTGAACATTAATAAGTATGTGACATCTTGGACCTCCAAGTATTATTTTTTAAGTTTAATTATTAAATAATAATTTGTTGGACCCAACAGCTAAGCACTAATTAGCAACCCCCCAACATCCATGGAAATAACAAATAAGCCCACCACTACTTAATTTTTGTTTATCATTAGATACTCCATACTAGGGGTGAGCAAAATTATTGGGTACCCGATTTTGGACCCGGAATTGGTTAGGACCCGCCGGGTCCAGAACTGGAACTGGTGCAACCGGTTTCGGGTCCGGGTCCAAAAATCAGGAACTGGTTATAACTGGTTCCAGTTCCAGTTCTTGATTTTACGGACCCGGTACCCACCGGATACCCGGAACTGGTTGCATTGCTTTAAAAATATGTTATTCGTGGCCTGCTCTGAATATATGGGGCATAATTATCTATTGGGCCTTATAATTTCCTAGCCCACACTTTATTTCTAACCTAATTAGTCACCATATATTTAAGGAGTACTTTTTTTTTAACTCATGTTTTTTTCATTTCATAATTCACCAAAAACCACTCATAATTTCTACTTTCATCCGTCAAACATCAAACTCCAATTTGATGATTATTTCACCCAACTTAAATTAATCACTCCATTCTTATATTTTTCCCAAATTCTTGTATCTAAATCCACTTTTTTCCGTCCTTAATTTTTATTTGTACAATAGAAAGAGGTAAAAGATGAAGGTGGTGAAGAAGAGGCCGAAAACAGATGAAGATTAAAGATGAATCAAGCTTACATACTCTATTATTCTGAGTTTTAGGGATGATTTGTGTGATTTCAGGCTAATAAATTTATGAAAAAGCCATGATTATGTAATACAACTCGAGTTTTCTACTATACATTCTCTAAATGCTCAGATCTACTTTTTTCATCTTTATTTTCTGCAATTTTCATATAATACTTTTAGGTTTGATTTTTTTTAAAATAAATATAATTTCTGTTTGTCGATCAAATCTGATTTTTCCTTTGGATATGTAACCGGGTACCCGGTTCTAGAACCGGTTACCACCAGTTCCAGTTCCAGTTCCAGTTCTAAATATTCTGGACCCGGTTATACCGGTTCCGGGTCTGGTTCCAAAATCTAGGACCCGGTACCAATTTCAAGACCAGTTCCTTCGTTTTTCACTGGGTACCCGGTTGTGCTCACCCCTACTCCATACATATTAAATTGAAATGTGTTAAATAGGCCACATATGGACCCACACGGTGGACAAATAACAGAAATTAGAGAATTTTATTTTATTATTATTTTCACAAATCTAGTACTTATATTAGAGCTTAGAAATTGCAACAATAATCAATTAATTAATTAATGGATTAGATATTATGGGTTAATTAATAAGCTAGGGACAATTAAACAAACTTTAAAGTAATAGCATCACTACTTTTTTGAGGCAAACAAAAAAATAGTTGAATCTAACCTCTTTTCTTATTTGTTCTACTAAAAACCATCCAATTTCTTTAGGTATCCTCTCTTTTCCGTGATTATGTCTCCTCTATCACATGCTACGTTCAGAAAATAAAGTTGAGTGTAACTAACTAACCTTCATTTAAGTGAGAACACAAGTACACTAGCTACTAGATAGGACTCATAGGAGTCTAGCTAAGTATTATACTCGAATCTTTATAAATTTTTGGTTGTAAAGGAGTAAAAGAGTGAGTACTATGCATGCAATAATGTTAACTTTTTAGTGATATTAAGTGATTTTTGTTGTGCATGGTTGTCTTGTGTTCAATTATGGTTTTACTTGTAGTTTGGGGTGGGAGGTGGGTGGGAATTAATAGAGTTGCTTGTGAATGGTTTGGATTCAAATGAGTTGGAATTATGTCAATTGAATTTGAATTGTTGGCTCGTGAGCTCATGATTTTAAGTTCAGATTTAACTCCGATCCGTATTAATTATTAAGTTACAATTGATTGACAATTTGACATATATACTATGTCCACCTTATATTGACTAAACTCACCTTATTTTTGCTTTTTTGAACTTTTTTTTTATCTGGTTGAAACTTATTTTTTATAAGATATTGATTTATATGTCGTAATATGTAGTTTTATAATATCGAATTGTTATAATTGTTGTTGATACACTGATACATAAATATATAATTGTAGATATTGATCTGATAGTCAAATATATATCTTAAAGACCGTGCAAAGTCAAATGGAACCATCAAATTAAAACGGATGGAGTATCAATTTTAAATGCAATCTATAACTAAAAACACATTGCTTATTAAGGAGTATTAATTAAGTCAATTACATTATTAATGCTTTTCTGACAACTAATGAAGATAATTTAATTGCGTTAATTAGAAGCAATTAAACAAATAAATTTCCAATAGCTTTGAAATTGCAACCTTAGTCATCTTCATTGTCGGAATGTCTCTCTTAGTTTATCAAAACTGATGTATGAGTTGTTTGATTATAATCATTCGGTTGGAATTAATTAATTAATTATAATTAAGTCATGAACTCGTGATCTTAGTGGCAATCATGAAACATTTAGACACGAGTGCCTGATGGATAATAATGTATAAATTTCTTATTGATCATATATTTGTACCTGTCATGATATTATTGTTTACACGTAACTTATGTTCTTTCTCCTATCAAAACATTGCATAATAATTTCTTTAATTTCTTTATTAGATTGAAATATGATGATCAAAAGGTAAGAAAAAAGGGCTTGTTTTGGTTTCTTTGTGTCATGATTACATGCATAGATATATAAAGAACGTTGGCCTTTATTGTTCGATCAAATCGATTCTTATACATATAAGTAGTAGTTGGTTGAAAATATTGGAATTTTTTTTTTTTTTTTGAGAAATTATATTGACTAATAAATTCTTAGCTTGGAATTATCTTAATACCGAGTACATTGTTTTAAAAAAAATAATTATAATAACTTCTGACTTTATGAGGAAAAAAAATGTTTTCAAGTAACTACTTATGAATTTCGTGTGGTCACTTTGTTGCTAACAAGACACAGAGGAATTATTATTTTTGGTGTTTAGAGAGCCACAAGGGTGGGGGTGAGAATCGATCCTAAGATATCTTGGAATCGGGAGGGAAGTTCTAACCACTTGAGCTATCCCTCACTCTCACGGAGGAATTATTATTACTATTATTATTACACAATGTTTTTTATGTGGCTGGCCACACCGTGTGACATAGGTTACTTCGTTAGTGTAATAAGGGGGGTTACGTGGTCAGTGTTAAAGAGGTTACTTCGTCGGTGCTATAGGGTTACTCGGTTAGTGTTATAGGGGTTACTCAATTAGTATTACAAGGGTTACT